AGAGAGAGAGAGAGAGAGAGAGAGAGAGAGAGAGAGAGAGAGAGAGAGAGAGAGAGAGAACTATCGTAGAGCGTGATCGTCAGTGTGCAGGGTATGAGCGATGTGGTAACTCGTAAATCGAGGTAGACTTTGGCAGGTAGGAATCCGAGCTGGCAAGCGCGGGAGAAAAGGGCAGTCAGTCCGTTAATCGAATGTGGTTCCGCATAAATAAGTGGTTGCGTGAAGAGCGAGCTCAGTGAATCACCATGTTGAAGCGAGGAACCAGCCAATGAAGAAGTTCAATCAAACTAATATACCGGCTATCGCCCTGTCGGCCAAGCAACCAATTAATCGACCAACCGGTCGACAATCTATCAAATCAGTCAAGATAATATGTCGACTATCGGCTGGCCAGTCAATCAACTGATCAATCACCGGATCAATCAATTGGCCAATCAACTGATCGATCAACTGATCGATCAACTGATCAATCAATCGTCCGCCTTGAAATGCGAAAAGCATTCTAACCTGACAGAGTCGGCTGTCCTCTCTTGACAAGCAGGAAACCAAGAGTAGGTGTCAATCCAGTTGCAGGTTCCCCTACGGCATAATTGACCAATCAACCAAGCCATTGATCAGTCAATCAACCAGTCAATCATTCCAATCAACCAACCAAATAAACAATCAATCAGCCTCTGAATCAACCGACAATCAACCAATCAGCCAAACAATGAATCGGTGAATCAAGGAGTCAGTCAATCGACCAAGTAGTTGGTCGAACAATCAATCAATCAATCAATCAATCAATCAATCAATCAATCGAGCAATCAATCGAGCAATCAATCGAGCAATCGACCAGTCTTCCATTCGGGGATCCCTGTTGTGGCAACGCCACGCAGGGCTATGCACACACTAGGAGTGGCCTTTAGATCTTACGTCGACCAGTGCTGCCGTTTAAAATAATTTGAAACGCTGTCAGATATCGAATTGGTTAAATTGTCGTATTGTGTTCAAAGAAAACAATCATCGTATTGTCGCTGAATGTGAGGGACAAGGCGAGATCAGCCAGGGCCAGCCTTCTCCACTACGCGCCGACAAACTCGTCCCTATGGCGATCTTTTTTATTGATTGACGCCGTGCTGGGACATCGGCTCATCTTACCCGTCTTTAATGCTTTGATCGTGAGGGGGAGGGACGGAACACAAGGAAACTGATATCTTACGCACGGCGGGAATGTACGGGGCAAAAATGCGCTGACCCCACACGCACACACACACACA